GACATCATTTGCCGAATCAGATGCATGTCAAAAGTAGGTTATCGTCTTAAAGGACGGTTCATTTGTCGAACTGCAACGGCTCAACGTGTACAGGTACGAGTTTGGAAAACAGAGTAGTTGACGGATCGGGTAATTTCATTTATCCACTCGTTTCCGCGGTGCTCTGCGTTACACGTACCAACTCATGGGAGAAGAATTGTTTTTCGTTCAACGGTATATAGTAATTTATGTGTGACAAGGAATCCGTGGAGAATTTCGGTTCGCAAATCGAAAAACTGATCCGGTTCTACGGAAATGAATCGGTGTACATTTTTCAAGAATCAAAATAGCAACAAATAAATATAAACACTAGTGTTCGGATAGATTGCCGATCGCGTATTACTCGTACGTTCCGTTCACTTGTATAGCGATCGTCCGTTGCCAACGCCGCGAAGCATCGAGCAGCACTACGGAATTACGTCACACTTACATTATTTGTGCGCACACTCAAACGTTGTCGATGCCAACGAACATCGCACCCCTCCTTGAGTCCGGTGTAAATCACCTTTATCGAGATTGTGTTTTAATTAAACGTCCTAAATCGCAATTGATCCCCGGAAGTTCATATCGAGATAACGTTTCGACTTAACGTGTTACGATGTAGAGGGTGGAGACGGTTTTTGGCGAGATAATCGATTTACGCAGTGTTTATAATCACGTCGGCATTGTACAGCAGCTACTCGCGGTGCTGACTCGCTCCCCCGCAGACGCGACAGGAAAACTTTCGAAACGACTTCATTAAAGAATATAAGCTCGAGTAAGGAGATTCAGGCACTCGGGCTATGTTGCAATCTATATTCCATGCGCCGGCTTTATTCAAATTAACTCGTGGCTAATCGTTTGCCGGGATAAAATTCCGTGGTAGAGAACCTATAAGCTCTTTCCGGAATAACTTCCCGTTTTAATTATTTCCAAAGAGAATATAATCTCTTTGTTTTAATTATAAGTTGAGAAAGTTTGGCATGGACTTCGTCACAAATCGGATCTGCGGCTTTGCTATATGAATTCTTATCTGGTATTCATTTTCACATATCTTGATGCGTTAATGATTATTTAAAAACAAAAACAAAACAAAAATATTACATTTCAATTAATCTATTTAATAAAACGTAAAATATGTCGTAACTGAATAAATAACATGTTAATGTATCGATGTTTTCGAATAAGTTTTCAACTTGCATGTGCAAATAAAAATCCATACTCTGAGAATATAATTCCTACGTGGAAAATTATATTTTCTAGTTGTCTTTCCTTTTTTCCTTTCGACCGAAACACGTACAACCTAGATGCCGGTTAACACTTTTCGTAATGCTATTAGAGTTTGGTACTTGGAATCTGTTAAAGTTCATTCTATATCACTTGAAATTTCCCGTTTGCCGGCCCGAGGCGTACAAGTGTAAATTACTCAACTCCAACTCTCGGCATAGCACAGCTTACGATTATCTACGACTAAAAAAAAAATCATCGCGTGTCCAATAAACAATTGGTTTGCGCTTAAAACTTGAGTGGAACTATAATATAATTCGTACGAGTTTATCTCTTGTAGGTCTGTTACTTGGAGTCGATATTGTATTTATGACGAGGATGTTGTAGGTGGGGGTGAGTGAACAGCGGAACAATTATTTCTCTATGACAGTCCGTGTTTATGATGGTATTATGAGTTGAACGCAAAACACCTTACACAAATAGTGCAAGTTTGTGTTTAATTAATATTTCGATATTCGTACCGTATATTATGATAATGTTTCACAAATATACATCGTACAATTAATATTTTCTCATACGCAGGGTACATATTCAACCTCAAGTCAAAAGCTGTCATCGTTAAACGGATATTGTTTGGTGTATACTCTCCGTTGAGAAAATAAATAAATTAATAAATAAAAATGCACAGTAATACATAACCAGAGAATATACCAACTTGAGGTAGTCTAAATTAGTATGCATAGCAGTAGTGCAACCCCAATGATAAAGACGCGAAACTTTGGTAATTATAATTGCCAATTAAGAGTCGAGAGAGTGTCATTAAGTTATTACAAATTATACATACCGAATTATACAGTCATAGTAGAATTAAAACTAAATGTAAATAACATTAGCGTAGATAATATTTTAACATGAATTATAAATTTAAACTTCGACCTTGTTTTGATTTACTAATTTTAAAATCGTTATTTATTAGTTTTATACGATAATGGTTATTTTTTTGTGTTCAATAAACTCTAAATTCGTTAATAATTGGTTCATAAAACACAGCTTCGAGTTATTGATGAAATTTTTGTTATAGGCAGGGCTAAGATTTATATGCAATAAAAAATTGTAAAAAATGCATTTTATTTACCAAAATATATAAAAATATGCATTTAAATTTTTATAAGATAAACACAAAAATATAGTTACAAAAAAAATATTTATTGAAATATATCAGTGGTTGGCTGTTTGCCTTAGTATAATATAATTGAGAAATAAAATAAAATAAAAATAATTTAGAATGAAATTTATGTTTGATAAAAAACCAAAACCAAGTTTTATACTTTAATCAGCAGGACTAGTATTAAATATGAAATATTAATACTGAATTATAAATATTAATTACGAAATATATTATAAAAGATTCATTTTTCGTATTCTTAAGATAAAAAACATGCAATAATATCCAAAATATGCAAAAAGATATAAGATAAAAACACCACTATGTATTTCATCATAAGTTGATTCTTAGACATTACTGACAAAATCAATAATTAGAAGTTACAAAAAAAAACATAGCCCTGGTTATAGGTAACTATGATATAATCATTTTTTTTTCTAATTTCTACTTATTTGTGGAGTTTGATGTTATTTTTACATCTTTATTTTTATATATAATAAATTATATTACTGTATATTATAGTTATATTTACGGCCTCAATCCTATAAGTTTTTAATGACTAAATTTTTGATAAGAAAATATTATTTAACTATACTATTATTATTAGTAACATAACAAAAACCATGTACGTTATAATATAACGTATATTATACTGATGAAGAAAGATGAATAATAATAGACAATTTGAGCAACTTATAAATAATAACCATATTAAAATACGTCATGTACTTTTCTGTACGTCTCTCTGATCACAAATACAAGACAGAAACGTGAGGAACATACCGGTACGACGTAACTTAGTGGAAATATGATTTCAACAACTAAAATTAACCATGTCAGAACTACCCGATGAAGTCCGTGTGTCTTCATTCCGCGTTAAGGATGTTAATTCAGTAGTGAATGAAATGGGCTCCAACTTCGAAACCGCTCCGTTTAGCACGAATAGAATTACACCACTCAAGATGTAGTCATACGTATACAAGGTCGTGTTTAAGGTCAGCGGAAAGTCAGTGTTTTCTTTTTTATTTGTAAGTGAATTTGTGCGGTTTCCCTTCGACGAGAGTTATTTCTAAGACGAACAAAGTATTGGCCTGGAAAGCGACCTGTCTCGCAGTAGTTTACCATTTTTTTTTTTTCTTTACGTTACGGTAATCCTCTAAAATGTGTTCACGTCACGTATAATTCCCACGCGTTAGTTTTGCATAGGCTAATATATGAAAAAATATACATAGTATAGTGCAATTGTTACAAATTAATATATTTGTAGGATCCCATTGGAAATTTAGAAAATTTTCGGGTGTCATCAAAATTCAAAATAAATATGTTTAATATATTGTATTTGAATGTAAACATTTTTTGTACAAATTATTTTCTATTTAATTTATATGAAGTCTTATTATAATATTTAATACTTAAAACATTAAAAAAATGACATAAAAAATAAAATAAAATACAAACAAACTGGCAAGGCCCCCGAATGATTCAATAAATGATATTATACCGTTCACTCAGGTAAAAACTGCCTGTTTTCAAATTCAACTTTTCTTCTTTTATTTGTTCATAATCAAATAACAATAAAACACAACTAAAAAACAACAAAAGTAACAACTCATTACAACGAGTATTAAGTGAACGTTGGTCGACGGTAATTGATGCACTGATGTTGATGTGTAATCGTCACGTTCCGTTGACGATCACCCATTCAATCTTTAAAATATGAGTGATACGATATGCTTGGAAACTAGTATAATATCTGCTTCCGTTGTTAAAAACTATTACATTTTATTATCGATTTTTAATGTTTTTCCTTCTCTGCGGGCCGGGTAAAATTCGTCCGTGGGCCGGAATCTATATTATAGAAGACTTGTAAGTCATTAGAATGAAAGCAAATGGCATTTGTTGTCATAGGTCACTAAAACTACACGCTTGACTCTAACACCCCCGTTCTGTCACGCGCAAAATGTATTGACGGTGTTAGTAAAGTACGCTGTCGACTCTATAACGTTTATCAAGTTTAGCAGGATACCGAAGGTAAAATACAAAAGAGAAAAAAATATTTATACATTCCTGTTTTTTTTTTTTTTTGTTCATAAAACCGAGCTAAGGTTTCGTTGAAACATTAGCATTATTTTTAATGAGCAAATACATTCATGTGTAGAAAATCGTATACCTTGTCCTGTGGGTATGAACATTCGTTGCAATCACGTGAAATAGTAATTTCCTACCAATTAAATAGTCGGTATACCACACTTGTAACTATAACGTCGCTATTCTACTAGGTTGGTATTTCCAGAAGAGCTAAAACGGTTTTACAGTTGTGAAAGTTTGTGTAAGCGTCGAAGTATACTAGACTTGTACGTGTTAAATCGATATGTACGGTAAACTCGTATTCGAAAATAGAATTTAATCCATGAGCAGTATGTTATATTATATTACATCTGTATGAAAATGTATCGAATAAATACGAATATGTTTGATAAGTAAATTATAAAAAAAAAAAATGTGTTATCAATTTTATAATGTCAATATTAAAATGTTATTTTAATTTTATCATACGTATATTTTATATTTTTTCCCTTGTGTTTTCCAGGATGAACCATTATCTATTCGGACTCCAACCCGTATGGTTTCACGTCATCAACGTTGTCCTGCACAGCCTCTGTAGCATTTTGTTCGCCCGCCTGTGCATTTCAGTCGCAGGTTTGCAACACAAATACGGGCTTTTAGCCGGAATCCTGTTCGCTGTCCATCCGATCCATACGGAGGCGGTAAGTTTGCGAATACAACTCATAACGTTAGCTAATATTTTACACGTTACGGGTTTATACGGGTTCATGAACAATCACGTGAAGTTTTTTTAAAAAAAAATAATTTTCATGCAATATCTTACAATTACACGTGTAAAACACGTGAGGGTACGACCCCAAAATATTTTAATGAAAACATAAACTTTTTTATCGCTATAGTTTTTCAAGTATTTATTTTTTATTTTAGTTTTTTAATGATGACAACATATAGATGTTTCGTATTACGAAGGTTGATTTATTTCAAATAATGTTTGTGCATTTAAATTTAATTTGCATGGCTGTACTTATTTTTAATTCTTATTTAAAGTTCAGATCGGTGAATAAAGAAGTGACTGCACGGGGTCATTTCTTGAAATGTTGATGCATCATTATCACGCTGCGCTACGTTTTTAACTAAAAATACATTTGATTCGATATTCGATTTGCACAGAAAATTTCAGAAAAATATTTTTCAATTCGAAATCCGATTTATAAGTAAATAATATGTTCAAAATATTGATAAAAGTGAATAGAACAAAGAAATAATTTTAAAAAAAAAAAATCATAAAAAAAGTATATTTCGTAAACTTATGAGCGTTTTGTATTGTATTTATACAATGATAGTTTTAATATATTCGTAATAACAATAAATTTTCTTCGAATAGTAATTTTTCCCGTCGATGGCAGTAATAACCACGTAGATTAATACGGTTACCAATTTATTTTCAATGTCTATGTAGACGTCTGTTTAGAGTAGTTATAACTCACGGGCTCGTCGTAGTATCATCGCATGCACAGCACACCCGTATTACTACTGCGTATTTACGCGAGTTTGGAAATTGAACATTGTATTAAAATACTGGGAACAATATCCGGAGTTTAGAGATGAATATATTTACTCTGTAAGCATTACCACCGTTCAAATAATACAATGACATTGATGTAGTCAATGTTTATCGCGAAATATCACCTTATCGATCGGGGTGGCATTAATGAATTTGTCGCACTCGTATCGGACGTTTTGTATCGCCGAGGTGTTATAACGGTTATAGTATTTTGACGTATGATGATATGCCATGAAATAATTTTTTATTTTCAAACAATATTGTTCCCGATGCCAAACTCTGTGTTTGACAGATATAAAGTGCACCGATACGAAACAAAAAAATAAAATATAAAAAAATAGTAAAAAAATAATATAATAATTTTCGTTTAACAAAAGTTTAAATTAACTGTAAAGGTTTTAAATATTATTACTTTTTTTTTTTTTGTACTGGGATGGTATGTTGATGTTCAAAAGAAATGTTTGAAATAATATAAAATACAAAAGTTGGATAGGTTACAAGGTATATATAGAAATCAAAAATTATTCTTTTTCTCTTTTGAAAAATAAATTATTTTATTTATTTCTCCTTTAGGTACAATCAATATGGTTTTAAAATATTTTTTTTATTATAATTTAATTTTTAATTTAAAAATGGAACTTTACTTGTATATAAATTCAATTAGGATAACGAATTCAATTTTACTAAAGTTTTCCAAACTATTCCAAAAAATATTTTTTTAAAAAAATGCATCGTCCATATTCAATGATTCTTTAATCAAGTCATCATGAGTCACATTATATTACAATAAATATATTTTATAAATGATGATGAATTATGTTAAGTGAAAATAAAAAATATTATGGCATTAAAACAAAACATATTTATTACGTAAACAACTTTCTTAATATTAAATTAAAATGATTGTTTTTCTTTTCCCAACATACATCAACATATATCCACATCGTTACTCGATTAGGCTATCGTAAGCACTAAGATATAATAATAATATACAGATTATTGATGTCAATACATTTATATTTTTTATCGGAAAACTTTTTCCTGATACACACACTTACACACATAGGTAACCGGCATACATCATGGCTGGAACACACATATGAGTGTTCACGGAAATAGCTTAAAAACTGAACATATCTAAAGAAAAACAGTGCAAAGTGTCTGAAACGTCAGGTTATCAAAAACCGATGAGGCACAGGATATACAGGAAAAGTTTCTGTAAATAAATCAACGCGTGGAAGTTTTAACAAATTTATATATTATATATTACGTTCACGACCTTTGTTTCAGATCCCTAGAGGAATAATTACAAGAAACCGTAATCCAATGTACTGTTAGGGAAAAGCATTTTTTTTTTTTTTATTCAGGCAAGCGGTTGATAAAAAATATAGAAAAGCCAGAAAAAAAACGATGAAGCGTAATGCACTCCAAAAAATGATGTAAATAATTTAGACAAGCTTTGATGGATTTTAAACACATAAAAACCAATATAATAAACGATTTATACGTGTTCTATTATTTCATTTATAAGAAAGCAATGAAGTTTATATGAATGATTTAATTTTAACTAGATCACATAATGTACATGAAAATTATTTTAATCATTAGAATTTCCAGAAATTTAACCAATCGTGAGTATCAATTGAAAACATGTTTTATTTAAAATTATTTATGATTCAACTGGTACTGTTGGAAATTAAATATTTTTGCTCGACTTCAAGTGTGAAAATAAAACATCGGAAAACGGAGTACATTTATAGAGTGCTAATGAAACATTATTTCTGGAGTGTGCCGTGGCAAGTAGTGTCGCACTTACCTTGAATGAATGCGGGAGGTTAAAAACATGAAGTTACATTTATTCAAGTCTGTTTAAGGACGATGCTGTCGATAGCAATAAAGAATGATTTTTTTTTTTAGTCATTTTCTACAGTTATATTGATGTGAAAACCTTCGACGGTAAGGTACACTGGCGCTCCTGTGGGGTAAATCAATTTGTAAACAATAATGGGAACAAAATACATCGCGAATGAACCACTTCACGACAGAGGGACGCAATAAGCATACAAATAAAGTTGTGCATAGGAGGTACGGGGGGGGGGAGTAGGACAAAGAAGTGTACAAAAAATAAGACGGTTGTGGAAGAGGAGCTTCGGAGAAGAAGTGAAATAAGAAAGAATAACGAGATATACATCTGGTGATCGGGTGGAAAAGGATTGAAGATTTACGTGCCGTGAATAGGTAATGGCCTGGTTCCAAGTTTAAACAGTCGATGTTCGGAATCCCTGCACCGTTTATAGCCTACATGTACAGTACGCGCATACCGTCGACCACCTCATCGGTCAAAAATAAACAGATTTGTCGGTAACTTCAGGTAAGTACCTTCAATGAGCCTGACCGCGATGTATTGATTTGCTGGTGCACCAAACGGGTCCATGCTTTCGCTATCGGAATTCATGACCGTACTTGAAGCCTGTGGAATTCACTACGCGATAATGCAACGAAAATGAGTTCGTGAGTCTTCAAAACGTTTAACGATACCCAAAAGTTTAACCGCACCAAAAATGTCAAAAACGGCTGCTGCGATCGATCAAACCACACACACCCGCACCAGATACGAGAAGACGCTGGATTATATTCGATGTACGCAATGTAAATAAACGGATCCAGGGCCATCGAAGGAATGCGATTGCTATTGTAATTTAGCCATGTGTCCACATAATAGCAATTGTGCTAAAATCATTCTTATATACACCGTATTGTTGAACATTGATAATGATAGAGTGGAGGTATAATAAAACAACAGAATCGGATTGAGGTGCAGCAAGTGGCAAGTGTGTAGCGTAAGAAAAAAAAAGATTCACTTAAAAAGTCTTAGAAATGATATACATCCGACTACCGGGATACTGGGCCGACTTTTTGATACCTTTTTTATTGCGTTATTGTATATTATACCCGTATATGTGTATATAAAGAATGAAGAAACAATGAATGGCCAAAACTTTCGCGAGAGGCCAGAAGCCCCTCAGTTAGTGAGCTTCTTTTTATTTTTTTATTATTTTTTCCCCCACTAATGTTCAAGGACCTTTGACGGTGCGAGAAAATTTTATCTCACCTCTTGTATATATTACAATATACATGAATAATTGTTTATTTTCCAACCCTATTATCTTTCATCGTTTCACTCTTCTGTTCGTTTCAGTAAAAAAGACTGTTTATGCAATTAATCGCTTGTACAGTGTTTTTTTTTTTTTTTTTTTTTTTTTTTTTTTTTTTTTTTTTTTTTTTTATAATTAATTTTTAATGAAATCATTGAAATGTTGAAATGAGAAATAATGTACAATTGACGGATCTCTTTTTATGTTGAAATTTGTATGAATAATAATATTTGACACGAACAAATGTAAATTAATTTCTCAAAGCTACCGAAAAGTTATTATTGTTTTTGAGAATTATTTATCGCTGGAAAATAAAAAAGTAAATAATACGAAAAAATTGAAGAAATAAACTCATACAAATACAAGCAAAATATACCCAAGGAAAAAATATAACCAAATATAACAAAAAAATAATATAACCAAGGAAACGTCTCGTCTTAATTCATCATTCATTAAAAAAAAAAAATATATATATATATATATATGTTCAACTTAAATATTTAGATTTATCTACCATGACAAAATGTTTTCGATAGATTTTTTTATTGTTTTCATTCCTTGCAATGACTTATGGTTATTTAAAAATATTTTCTTTAAATACTGCCTAATAACTAACGTAGTACATTTGAAGTTTCAATATTTTCCCGTGTAATAATATAATATATCGTGCTAACATTGATATAATTAAAAAAAAAAAATTCTAACTATTAATTTATATTTTTCAATATTAAATTTTCTATGTATTTTTTGTAATTTAATTATTCATTTCCAGATTTAAAAAAAAAAATAAATAAATAAATAACAATCTCAATAAATAACTATGAATAAATAAGTATAAATATTATATTTATATTATTAGTATAAGTTTTTTTTTTATTATGTATCACCTCTATTAGTAGTGAAACTGTATTTTAATGTCTAAAAATTAATTTTATATTACTAATCATAAGTTAACTATATATTGAATTCTTTGTATACTTTCTTGCCTTCAGGCGTAAATAAATAAATAAATAATATGATATAAATATTTATTGATATTTTTATACTACATTATTTCAAAATTATTATCAAAATAACTGTGAATTCAGGACCCAGTCTTGATGTGATAATTTATCGGGCTGATTTTAAAATTTTGAAAAAATACTAAGGGTAGATAATTAGGTCGAATCAAAAAGGTCATCTTTATGATAAAAGTTAATTCGGAATTATTTTTATTTCTTCGCTGTCCGTAAAACCGACGGGAACCCATTAGAACATTATAAAAGTAACCGACTGTTAAATGTACTCCTCAACTTTGGTCGATTTCCATTTTATACAATGGTATATTTTACAATGTAAGACACGTATTGACGTTTTTTTCATCAGCGCAAAAATTGTGAACGTAAACTGGTCGGTCGCACCGAAAGAGTAGTCAAAAATTGCTTTTACCGCGGTTATATTCCGTCGCTGGAAAAACTGTCGATCGGAAATTGCACGTTTAATACCTTATGATGTGTATGGATTTCTGACGTAGTAACGCCTTTTGCAATGTTCTGTGTATATATATATATATATATATATATATATAACCTTAAGCTACTATCGTTTTTATACGGAAGATGTTAAGAAACACACGCACGTGTAAGATAGTCCCCAGGGGTGATTTTAATTAAAAATAGTCGTCGCTATTGTCGACGGCTATATTGTCTCGAAATGAACACCGACGACGGCGGTAAACAAACGTAGCACACGAAAGCATAGTCGAAGGAGACAATTTCGGGAGCAGCAACACCGCGGTCGCGGTATATAGTGGTACCCCGGGGAAGTTAACCGTTTTAATTGCGCACACTCGCTCAGACTTACCGGCGATAACGTAAGGTACAATGAAAATGAGTTTCCTTTATTTTTCCCCTCTCTTTTGTTTTCGTCGTATCGACCTCTGGCGCAATTCCTTTACAGTTTGAGGTGTGCGCGTATCATGTGGTTATACGTATACACTTATAAATGTTTGTGTGTATGTGTGTGTGTGACAGAGAGATTTCCCTTGGTGGTCAAAACCTTCTAATGCCTTTGGCAATGTCGGATTATTACCAAGTAAGTCCACAAACTGCATCGGTGGCAGTGGTCCCTAGTGTCCGCTTTTCTAATAATGGTCTACTAACATCGCATAAGCTTACTCCCGGCAAGGTGACAGTTAAGGGTCCGCGATATCCGGTCTAGACCTTTGCGGTCACCTGCGACCCTAGTTGGATATTATTTTATTTTGAAAATCGGTGAATAATCCGCTTAAAAAATGCCTTTTATTAAACCGCCAATCCGCCATCGAACCTAATTTTTATAATCAACCTAACCTGCCAATACCGTTTTCCGAAAGTATAATGTTAATTCAATTCACATTTTAGAATCGATACGAATCAACAAAACAGCTTATCGTCCATGACACCTATGGCATTTGTTATTTTCAGAACCATTTACAACACGTGTAGTTTACGTTCGGGCAAACGAATTCGCTGCGTTCTGCACGTGATAACTCAACATTTTTCTGATTTTTTTCACTGCGAATACGTGATTCGTGTTAAAACGCTTAATTTTTTGAATATTTTATATTTCGCGTTCACGTTTAAATAATGATACAGACCATTATTTGAAACCGTGAATAGCGTGACATCATACCCTTCATTCTGCGCCCGAAAGTTTACGTCTAAAACATTGTGCGCCACACGTTTTTCACCTGTACAAATATAATTTTTTTTAACATTTTTAATCAAAACTCCATATTTACGTACAAAATGGGTGTGCCACGGCTTACGCGAGTAGTGTACTCATAACGATTATCCTCCCTCCTACGGAGATTTTCGTTTTTCCGTTCTATCTCGAAATCAGTTGCTGTTTGGCCCCGAGAGAGTAAACAATCACAATTCGTATACACCGAACGCGAACTCGCCGATGCTCACGACAACACAGTAAACTACCTCTCACCCCCTCTGTTGCTGAACGTACACAAACAAATAGGTTAGGCGGGCGCGTATATGTCTTTTTATATAATGCCATTCTGCGATTTAGCTACACTGTTTGTACTCACGCACACGCCCACGAACACTAACCCATACACACTCATCTATATTACACAAAGACTCTGAGATACGTGCACATACACATATAAGCATACAAAAAAACATAAATACACGCACGCACGCACGCACGCACATACACACATATATATGTAACGCACCCTACCCGCGACCCATCGATCTGCTTTTACCGAATAGCGAGCCACATTTACGACACATGTGTACTGTTTTTTGAACGTTCTTGCCCGGTAGACAATTGTGAAAATATTTCGGGTAAGAAGAATCGAAAATATAAAAAAAAAAAACCGACAAAAATATCACCTCGTTTCCATTCGAATCTGAGATACGAGAGCTATAAAACGTGTTCGAAATCGATTAGTATTTCGGATCGATAAACGTTTTTCGAAGATAATATTTTAAAAAGTTCTTATACTAAATAAGAATGTCAGCGTTTTCTTGCGTTGCGCCAATACAGTGAACTGATCTTCCAACATCTTAGATAGAATCAAATCGGTATCAATTTCATTAATTATTTAATTAAGTGCAAAATGACAATACGATATAATCAGGTCGACCAGTATCTTATCGGTTCTTAAACTGTTTCAGGTCACGGGTATCGTTGGGCGAGCCGATGTATTGGCATGTCTGTTTTTCCTACTGTCATTTCTAACGTACCATGAGTAAGTACATTATTTATTTACACTTTATAATATTCTATTCTAATCGATTCGCATCTAATGCATTGCGGTCTTATACGAATAAATCTAATAACGACGAAATATTTTGACCAACACAGGTTTGCTTATTTTATACGACAACGTATTTTGAATACGTTTTATTCTTTCAACTCTTATAATATATTATATGATCTGTCAATGCCATAGGTAAGGGGGTTATGAGGGTTCAAAGTTCTCCCGTTGACCAAATCTAAGTTAGTAAATAAATAGGTTATTTATTTAACGTTATTTATATAACGCCTTTCAATATACCAGCATCCCCACCCATCCAAATAAATAATATTTAACTATGCCTTTTTGATCGATTATTTTACTAGATGCAAAAATAATCGAAAATTAAATTAACCATAACATAATCACAATAAATATAGATAACTATTAATTAATAATATAAAACTTCTAATATTGATCGTAGGTAACAGTAAAAATATTTTTCGACACAATCGATGAAACGTTAACTTTAGACACACCTCAATGCTTTGAATCCAAGTTTTTTCACTCGAATTTTTTTGTAATAGTCATAATAACATCATGTTTATATTATATTCGGTGGAACGTAACGGCCCGTGGTCAATTTAATACCAAAGTGTTTGCATTGGTGTACTTTATTAATACACGTCAACGTTAACAGGTACACATATATACCATAAAGACGGTTTGTTTTCTACGAGCAATATTTCACTTATGCTACAACACTGTATGAACTTACTAACCATACGCGTTCATTGCGGACTTCTTTATGTGTTTATAAACCCATTTTAACCACATAAATACACACACAAATACATTTAGCGTTTTAAAACACTTAAAATTAATAAGAAATACGTGGAATTATTTTTTCTCATCTACTTAATACCTAACCTCTCGCGGTCGATACGTTATGATATTTTACTTATGAATTATGAACGACCACGGTGAAGTTGAAAAGCCAACTGATTTCACAGCACAGTGGTATTGTAAAATTACATATGACTATCGACGAGTTTGATGTTAATGTTACTGGTTCCTAAACTAACACGTATATAATCCACAGTAGAGTCGAAAAAAAAATCATAGAACAATTTGACGGAACACCAATTGTCGTGCAACACAAGCGTACGGTTTGGTAATGTACCACATATCTAAAGGGGAGTTTGTAATTTGCACCAAAATAAATATCTATTTGTTCGATTATCGAATATTCGATATTATAATATTCGACTATTCCTCAATATTCCCGATGTCACGACGTCAATACTAAAGTGAAAATAATATTTTTTTGCCTAAAACAATAAAATTATTACACTGCTATCATAAATTATTGACTATTCTTATACGGTAGCTTTGAGATCAATACTAAAGTACCATTTAGACCTCGGTATAAATAAATTAAATAACCGTTTAGAGTCTAAAATCTAAAATTCTGTGTTATTAACTGTTTATATGTTGTATAGAAACATGTACGTCGGTACTATCAAAATACTATTGAAAAAATAATAGATTTTTAGTTTTGGAGCAAATTATAATTCCTATTTATTACTAAATGAGGTTGGTGCAAATTACACGTGTTGTATATTTTGATGCAAATTGACTACAGCCATCGAAAATATTGTAGATTGGTACAGAAATGTTTGTGTAATGTGTTAATATGTTATATTACTTGAATATCATATACTCGTATAGTAATATAGTTCATCGTTGATTTATAATTTCAATGAAAATCAATCGTTTAATCGTTTGATATTTTGATTTATGCTGCTATCTCCAAAAATATAATTTTTGTATTTTTTATATTAAATACATTTTAGCTAGACCTACATGTGTTTAGAGAAATAGGTGTATGAATAATTGTCTGTTGTTTAACAATAGTTAGCATTCCCAGGCTATACGTATGACAATAATATTATTGAGTGATTTAATTACAATAAGTAAAATAATTAAGTCGTGCTTATTGTTTTAAATTTTTAATGTTAGTGGAAAAAATTTACTGCGTCCTAATTTTCTTCTTTTTTTTCCGTAAAAGGTAAATTGACTATGCATTTTATATAATAACTAAAATAACTATAGTCATGAAATATAAGTACACTTCATGTTGACTCTTTGTTGTAGTATATAAAGTACTGGAAAGCTCAACTTTAGAGATGTTTTTGATTTTACGAGACTCTTGTGATCCAATATGATAATTTGAATAATTGTTTTTTTTTTTTACATTTGAATTTGTTTTTAGAAATATATTACATAATTAGTATAACGAATATGTTTCCGCTAGTCGATACTTCACCGAAACCCTATAAAAACTCTACATAATACTATTATTATGAATCAACTGCTCCCGTTGTTATTGTTGTTCTCACTATCATCGATTAATAAGTTAATCAACTTGGTTGATTCTCTCGAGAATTTCATACATGAGGTTTATTAATATTTAACTCATTCGCCAACCGTAGGTATTATGGAGATGATGCATTTATTTTTTTTTCAACACGTCCTTTTGATCTTTGATTAATATTAGCTCCATTGAGTCAGAAACAAATATCGTTATACTTAATCGATATTATAATTATAATAATTACGGGTGCGCTATTTCCCGTCACCAAAGAATTAGAAATCCATCAATTCGATTCATGTATCGACCATGAATTTTTTTCGTGATTCGGATTATACACACCATGGTAATCTTTTATTCCATCAATTTTTTTTTTTTTTCTATTCCGCATAATTGAAGAGTACGGTTATCCTTTGTGCTCTCCATTGCGCCGTGCCAGCGTTTCCGCGTCCCTTCTTCGCACGCGTCCGTCGCAGTGCCGTATGATTAAGCGCGAATTATAGCCCTGCGGTGGAATTAGCAGCTGCGCCGAGGCAAAGTGCCAGTAGATTGTCGGACATTTATTTTAGCGTTGCGCGCGCGTTCGTTCAAACCGCGTACATGTGTCTGCGCGCACAAAACGAGTATTCGAAACGGGTATGTGTACGCGTGTCTCGTCGCCCGCGTGAGAGGTATACCAGGTGCGGCGGAATTTCGCGGCCCTGCGATCGTTTGTCATCGCGCGCGCCATCCACGGATTAGACGATACGGCATCACGAAGGAGGAAGCGTTTAAACGCACGGGCATGTAATCATTAATGTCCGCGCGCGCACACACACACACACACACACACACACAACCGTTCGTACAAACAAACGCAAACTTAGCCAAAGTCAAGGGGACGACGATCTTGCTACCCACTTTCTACCAGGAAAAAATACGCGTACTCCTTACCAGTGATTATTTTAAAGTTTTTTAGAAGTATGCAACCCCTTCCCTATACTCTCAAAAATATTACTCCCTGCGTATGATTATAAACCCCATTGCAGTCGTGCAATAATATCGTGAAAATAAAATAATAATTATAATAACACAGTCTTAATAAACCTTAACCGATTATTGACGGACCCTGTACCTGCACTCGGCCATGAAGTTGATAACTGCAATTTATTACTGTGAGCAATTTTATTTATAGATAGTATTTACAACTGCGTATTTTTTGGATTAGAGCTACGAATTTTTCATTTAGAGTTACGCAAAATGTGTTTAAATGCACGTTATAATAATTGTTCCTTACGCGTGCACATCCGGTGTTTTATATTTCGCCGTTCCGGTACGTTTCGTTCGCGTACGCGCGATGCGTTTTTGAACACCGCGGCCGACTACGCACCATAATGTGCGACGCAGCATGGGACCTCTTTATGGAGGTATCCGATTGTTCGTCCCCGGTTCTCTGTTCGGCTGATTGGCGGCGTTTGTTGTGGACGACCCTCCCGATTGATATCACTACCAACCGTGACGGACTTCCGGTCGCGACCCGCACCCCGTCACAATCCAAATCGAATTGAACACAGAATCGCGCCACAACATATGCAAGAATATACGTAGGCGGAAGGATGGGATTTTCACGTATTGTAAATTCAAATTCGTCTTCATGCGGGTTATGAAAATCTGCCAATTTCAGTGATCGTGATCGGTTCGTACACCATCGTTAGAGCACATTGTACTATTATAGACGCCCTGTACCGTTACGTATGTATTTTAATATCGCAAACCGCTTGCGGTAAACGAGCAACAAGAAAGCCACGACGATAAATTTCAATGTGGATGCAAACGTTCAAACTTACATTTCAATGATTGTAAACGCTTTAGATTATTCAAATTCTAGTTGAAACGAGAAAATATATACAAAACGATATCCAAACCATGCCACGTGGTGCGTTTAATTACGAGAGCAATGTTCTACGTAAGTTTTCAACTGACGTATTGTGTGTATTTAAATGTGATTGGAATCAAAATATTTTAAGCAAGACAACAATTCATGAAGAAATTTCCAAGAAGTAAATGCGAACGAATACTTCCATTTTGCAACATCTGATTAAGATGTATAGTTTTGCATTTATAAGTTTACATTTTTTACGTTGACAGCTTATAAACAAAATTGATTTATAAAAAATAAGTCGGTAATATCGATGCATTTGCTCCAACGAACAATTTTATTGAGCATAGCTGATTGGTGCCGAAACAAATATTTTACTGCGCCCCACACGACCTTAGGATTACACATCCATCAACTATCGCCTCGGTACCTTGACGCTGTACTCAATTTTATTTTAACTCTTTCAAACGATACTCTGGATACATCTGGTACACTGTCTGCCATTTGTTTTTGTGTTACATATAATTCCGTTTAACGTATCTTTCCATACACTGCAGACACATTACAATCGTAATGCTCACATAATGCTACGTAACAACAACTGATCCAGCCGTAACGCGCGTAACCACGTTCCACAACTATTGAAAAAAAAACCACCTCTTCCGATAAGCCACCATGTACAAGGGATTCAGTTTTAAACTTTTTCGCCCCAGGGTCAAGGAAACGGTCTTCCTATGCGCGTAGAAGCGATCGTTTGTGCAGCGCGAGATTGGAATATCGGTCATTGTTCCCGTACGGACAAACGTAGCCGCTGGGGTAGTGCGCGCTAGCAATGGGACAAACCACGAATTTGAGTATTGTATAATAGTATTGTAATAATACTGCGGACACGTTGCGGCGACGGCAATCCGCGTTCTACGCGATGATTGTACTACCGCAGCGGTGGAACGTAATTATTTAATTTGTCACCAGGAAAACAATGGTTAACGCGAGCGGACACGCGTTCCCATCGAAGTTTAACCCTTGTGATTTATTACGCATTGAAAACCGACGAAAAACAATCGGACCGCGACTCGTCCACCACCACGCGTCCCTTGTTGTGCGTACCGTTGTCGCGTTGTGTGAGCATTTACGCTCGAAGCGATGTTCAACGATGGCCGGACGGCGTGAATGGGAAACGTGAAAAATCTGCCGCGTCATCGGGTCGTCGGTCGTGGTTCCAAAGGGTTATCGTTCCCCCCAACTTTGGGACGCAAACTATTTTCTTGTCCAGGCCTCGATGTTCGATCGCAATACTATTGGCTAGGGTCACACGAACACTGGAAAAACAGACGTAATATGATCTGGTCACACGAACGTCGGACGTGCGTTGAGCATGAATATAAAATTTTATAATTTTCGTACATCGGTTGTTATAATTCGTCATTTCTCATCATATAAGATAGATGATCTAGAAACCACTATTTATTTGTTCACTGCCTTAAATGTATTACGAAAAAAAAAACGTATTATTTGGTATTTAGATAGTTCCAATAACTCGCTCGTAATATATTTTATAAATAATTCAATTGTTTTTTTTAGTAGTATTTCATTATACTTGGGTATTTTTATGTATCCACAGGATAATATTCTTTTACAGATACCTAGGTAGCACAATCTTAAAGATTTACACTACAAATTTAGAATTAGTAGATCAACTTAATGTAACATAATACGGTATAAGACGACGAGAAAACAGCGGTCGTGGGATTGCGTAAACGAAATTTAATAATATACTACGATATCCGATAAGCGCTTCTGACGAAAGTCGTAGCGTATAGTCAGGGTTATAACAATGGGGGGGGGTGAGAGGTGCCAACCCCCCCGGGCGTAATTCTTGAGAGAGCGCAAAAATGAAAATTTTGCATTTAATATCAAAAATTACAACGGTCAATGTAGTATATTTTGTTTACAGTTTAACGTCCTTCATATTCATTAAAGCAATCATTGAAAATAATATCTTATAAGCATAATATTTTTAAATTAAAAATACAATAGGGCGCATTTTGAAACCCGGGCGCAATGTTTGGTTGCTACAGCACTGCCTATAACGGACGTCGCGAGTGTGACCAGTGGTCTTGAAAAATAATATTATACAATTTTAAACGTCCGTTTTTCATACTCTCGTGTAATCCTAACCTATAACCATGCAGACCGTCCGTTGTCAATCGCGTTCGAATTATTCCGATTGATCTGATCCCGATATTGGTTTTCAATTGTATTCGATACTCGACGCGCGACTCGCAACTCGCGAAGATCGGATACGGCCGTCCGTAGACTTTTGCGTTACGTTTACAAACTCTGTTTTCAACTCTCCGCTTCTACTACCGCAGGAAACCATTTCCGTCGAAACGGATTCGATCCGATGACTCGTATTCATACCACGTTATTAACTTTCGTATGGTTTCGTATTTTCGCAGTAATCAGTTCGGGTTAGATGGGTTTCGATTAAAATCAAGCGGAAATGTACAGAGGCTGAATTAGTGATTTAAAATATCATAACTATGTTTTTAACCAAAGTTCGTTACATTTTCATCATTGCGTGAAGTTGAAAAATCATATATTCAGCTTAAAAATTATAAATGTTTACTCGGGAACTTTTAACCACTGTATTGATCAAACAAACATGTCTTGTACGTATTTTTGTATACTAAGTTATTCATCATTTTATACGCAACGGTATAAAATATAAAATCGACCGTGAGAATAATTTGTTACATTTGTAACTATGTAATTATATCACTGTTGGAAGTTAAAAAAGAAAAAGTTTGAAAATACAGTATTAAATAAGCGTTATCCATGAGAAGTGTATTTTAATACGTAACAAGCATATTATGAGTATATAATAAATACCAAAATAAAAAAAATTAATTCCGTAACTTTTTTAAGACTAATTATTATGTAAAAAAAACTTAAGTTATACTATGACTAAGAATAATTAATGTATAAATATAAGAGATATAATTTATTTTAAGAGTGTAATACAATTTGAGTCGAATTAATTATTTATTTTACTTCAACGACCGGACCATCTGCGAGATAAAATTTAACAAGAAATAACTGTGAAAAAAACTTTGTCCATAAATCAAACAGTATATAATGTCAAAATTATCGACCACTGGTCGACCAACCAGCCGTTATAGTTTGACCGTTTCTTATATGGCACGACGAGTTTTCTATTCGAAAATTTCCAAAATTCTATAGTTAAAAACGCGAGATTTAGAAATTTATAGTTTAGGTAATTTTTCATCGTAACGGTAAAAGTGAATTTTTTTTTAAATTTTTATTTTTGTACTATTTTCCGTGATTACGTTAACAATTTTATATCATTGTATTGTATCTTAAATAACTTATGAATTTATCGTTTTGTTTTTTTTATATCCAAACCATTTAGCACTCAGTGGAGACGCAGAGAACGAGTGGTGCTTAGCTGCATATTCGGAGCGTTATCGATGTTGGCCAAAGAAACCGGACTTATGGTCCTTTTAGTGAATTTGGCATATGACGTATACTCTTCGTGGGGCCATATTAAAAAGTGAGTATATTTATATGTTTTGTAAAATAATAGTCACCCATTATTTTCGAAGCCATTTACTACTTATATTTTTTAATTTATATTTATACCCTCGGCAACACGACAACATGGGAAATTGAGCTTACAGGAAGAAAATAAATTAATAGTAAACTAAATATTAGTTACACTATATTTTGTTTTGACGATTGGCGGCTGTGATGATTTGGATGATGTTGGCAATGGGATGAAGGTGATTGCTAGATATTTGAGTAGGTTGTGGTTTGTTTGGGTATTGTGGTTCGACATTCAGTGAAAATGTGGCTGATGGTGATTTAGACACCGCATGATTTGCACATTGGTGGTTCTTCCTTGGCCATTGTGAAACTATGGGAGATTTTCGTGGGTCCAATTCTAAATTTGGTTATTATGACTTCAAATGTTCTATAGATTTCGATAGGAACTGTCCTATTGTTGGTGTTACGTTCTATATGGATCAATTTAATTTAAGATGTCCACTTCTAGTGCCAACTTTGTTGACATTTATTTGTTATAAGCGTTTGTATGTCACTAAAAGAAATAATTTGTGTGGACGATGATAATGGAGAAGTAATTACAGTTTTGGCTGCGAGATCAAAGAGTTCGTTTACTTTTATGTTAGAATGTCAGCGAATCTAGAAGAATTTTATTTTGAAGTTATTATGATATTGTTAAGTGTAGATTTTGTTCTGAATATGTAGGCCAATGCCTGATGGGTTACATGTGTTTTTATATTGTTGATAGCGCTGGAGACTCAGTGAAGATTATAGTGTCATGTAGGTGATGATCGGTTATTATGTCGAACGCTTTTAATGTCGTAAGGTATAGATGGCTGAACATTGGATATGTTGATTTGTTTTGCCGAGTTAACGAGACGACGATAAGTAACTGAGTTTTATTTATAACGATATACGATTGTTTTGAGATAATATGGTCAACATTACTCTTACTGGCTGAATGCTTTAACCTACTCAATTTGTGGGACATCATTTACTATATTGAAGGTAATTGCTTGGTCTATTTTTAGATAAGATGAGTTCACTGTTGTTTCTGCGAATTTTTTGTGTATGTTAGGTTGTGGATAAGGGGGTATGAGTATAACAGGGTCGTCTGATGATGGTGTATTTAAAGGTGCAGGTGGTTGTTGTTCTCTATTCTCTATTCTTTATTGCAGCGTGTTGCGTAATGAAATGTACGTATTACTGCTATCGGAAGATAAGAAATGCGATAAGCGGAGACCGAGAATATGCATATGAATCCGATGGTGGTTACATACATCCTTTACTACTTATATTGAAATTATAATAGCTAGTGATTCCGTACAAAAAAAAAAAAATATTTTATATTTAATATCTTATTTTAAATTAGTTTGGGGTATTTATGTTTTCGAGGTATACTATATAGTTATATTGAATAAGATCCAAAGACCCAGTCAGCAAAATATTGGTCATTATTTTTTTATTTAAAATATAATATACTTCGATTCTAAATGGGTAGAAGATATACAATTATTATTTTTTTAAATTTAATATGCATACGTATTTTTTAATTAAAAATAATCACATATTTAAGCGCATATTTTGATATATTTTCATGCATATGTATGTTCATGTTTTTATGGTTTTATGTGCATTAAGTGCCGATCCCTGTGAATGAGTAAGCATATCTTTCCGGAGGGTTTAAGAGAATACCACGAGATTACACTTGGAATTTGATTACATTTAGTTAAATAACAATGTAATTATATTTCGTTTAGTAATTAAATATTATAATTACCGAGTTACATAAAGTTGAATATTCAAATAAGAAGAATATAATTTTACATGAAAAGCATTGCACTTTAAATTACAATTGCTACCACTACAAATTACCACTGAATAAAAAACTTCAATGATCATTAATTATTAGTTATTAAATTTACATTTTGTAACATAATAAGTTCAAAACAACAAGTTATTAATTAATGGTCTGTTTAAATTTATCTCTATACTGTTCTGTTCTAATTTAATTTTCCAAAAGTGTTGAAACGAAAAAAATGATTATTTTTTTTTTCTTAACTCTCCTGTTTTATATATATATATATCTATAGTGGTATATGTATGAACATTATTTTCTGCTTTGTCTGAGATAATAATTCTTTTTTGAAATGTATATATAATAGTAAAATAGATAGTCATAAAATATTTCGTAATCATTCGGCATTTTTTTCTGTACCCAAGAATTAAAAATATTTAAATTAGTATCCACATTTAGGGATACTTTAATTTATTAAAAACAGTTATTATTCTATCATTTGAATTATACATTTACTAATATTATCGTCAAAGTTCAGAGCTAAAAATAAAATGGGTTCTTTGAATAAAATAAAGAATCACCTTTATTATATTTGATTATCCCATTATTACTGTAGACGAAATCATATAGATAAAAGAAATGTACAGTAAACAAAGTACTAATATATGTTTTCTAAATAAAGTTTTTATAAGGTGTGAAAAATGTAATTTCTTTTTTTAAATAAATTAAAAAGTTATTAAACATGCAATTAAAACGAAGAAATATTTACAGTTTTTAACATTTATAAGTTATATATGTATTATATTAAAAAGTGAATATATATTAGATCCAATTTTTTTTATATTTTTCGAACAAATAAACACATAAATGAAGTCCCAGATCTCTGGTCATTTGTGAATTGTAATATTTTTTATTTAAAATAATTTTGATAAGTATAACACTGTTAACGATACTTAAGAAAAAAATAGTTTAAATAAAAAAAAATAAAATATTTTTCAACAAAAATGTTGTCAATACGAACAATTAATTTTTAATTGTCTAATGAATTATTAAAAAAATATTCAGTACGTAATCAGTACAGAATGAACAAAAAAATATTTTTTTTTTTGAATTCTAAGATAATAGTTTTTACTACTAGCATTTTGTGAAAAAACTTGTGTCTTGAACTATTTAACGATCAAAGCCGAAAAAAAAAAAAAACAAGTAAGGGTAGTGTTATTTTTAGGTTGCTTCTTCTATCATACCCTACATGTAAATATATAAATTATCTTTCAGTTTTATTGTTCTTCAAATCTACAGATTAAATATAGATATCCACAAAAAAATTGAATTAAAAAAAAGCTTCTTGACAGCTCGTTTAAATTTTTATACTATCGAATGTGTTGCTCCCGAGAAAAAAAATTATCCGAACTGATTAGTTTGATCAATCGCTTTTTAACCTTGCAATGGTTCCGTTACCATGAATGAATACTTTTTTATGTTCCTACTTAATTTGTCTAATATTCTTGTAGTAATTATAGTGTTAATATTTTTTTAAAAATTATTCTTATCACTCATTTGAGTGGTATACAGAATATAACTAAATGATTCTAACCGGTTGCGTTTGACTGAATTTTTCGGTTAAACTTCTCATTAACGACAGCATAATGTAAAAAATAAAGAAAAGTAGTGAAAACCAACAAATAACATGTATGCAGCATATTATCGCGATTTAGCGAGAAAAAATTATTAGAACTGTATAATGAACGTAGATAGTTCATACAGATCTTTTGGTTTTGACAGGAAAAATAATGTTTTTCCTGCTTGTTGTTATCGTTTCAAATTGTATTTTATGATATGGCTACATATGTGGTTAGTTGAAATGCACTGCCGCAGAACAGTATAAAAAAATCATATGTGTATGAGTCAAATTCAGAGTAGTTATAACTCAGAAATTCAACTTTATGGTACCGAGTTTAGTACACACAAAAAAATATATCTGATGAAAATGTTTTATAGTTAACTGAAATAGATGTATAAACGTAAATTTTTTTTTTTTTTTTGAGGATCATGATATTGAGCTGACAGCCATAAGGTAAACTATAAAGTCGACGGGCAAAATAAATTATAGTTATTCAATAAAGAAATTTATTAAATAAAAACACATTTCGTATATTAATAAAAAATGTTTAAAAAAATATTTACTACGAAATTAAGAAAAAAAAATTATAATAATATAAAATAACCAAAAATTAACATAAACTATAAATGTAATATGCTAGAAGGTCATCTATTAAAAATTTATCGATCATTATAATTATATAATTATTAAAAAATTATAATTTTGTGTTATTGATGTACGAATTTATCAACCGTCGTGTTATTAACTTAGCAGTGGAATAAAAAAGCACATATATATGAACATGATAAATATTTTTTTAATTTTTTTTTTTATTAAATACACTTTATATACAATCAATTCTAACGATAATAATTAGTAATTTAGATAGTACAATAATATATAATAAAATGTATTAATTAACATGAGGGAGAGAATTCGTTCAATAGTACCATCTATTTAATCTGATGAGTTCATAGTGGGCGAATAATTTTTAATTATTTATTAATATTTTTTTTATTTTTTTTTTTTTTTTAGAAAAAGAGTATCTCTTGGTTATTTATTTTTGATTCTTCTTATTGATTTTTTAGGTAGGGAGATCGAAGATAAATGGGAAATTTTAGTTTAAATAAGGTTAAAAGTGAATTTTTCTGTATTTTCGCGTTTATATTTCGTTTATATTCGATGGAATTCGTAGGTCTTTATGTAGTGTATTACTGGTCATATATCAAGGGACTTCAATTATTTGCTGAAGAAAATAATTATAAAATTTTAATGTTCACCAACTGAATTGTAGCTTCATGAATTGTCTGCCCTATAATTTTCAATCTAACACTAGCCTGTTTACCGTATCCACTAGGGGCCATTTTACTTTTATCTTTTTTAAAATATTAATTAATGTATCCATAAATTTTCTCATTAACTGCCATTGTTACATGTTCCAATTACAAATTGTGTTAAATGCCAATTGGTATTAATTATACATTTCGATATATATTTAACAATTGAACCACCTATTTGAGAAACAACGTTTGTCAATAAAAGTTAATTTAAAAAAAACAATAAAAAACGGTTTTTGCGGTACTGGTAATATTGGTGAATAAATCTGAAATTTCTAATAACAATTATTCGGAAAGATAAATAATTAAGAATAAAAAAATAAAAAATAAAAAAAATTATACTTTTTGTTCAAGAAGTGTACATTTAAAGTTTTTGGAATTACGTTATTTCTGCAATACATGATTATCCACGATTTAAATGTGCGACTAAATAACTATAAGTTTATATTAGATTTACATTTATTTTCTAATGTAACTAGTTAATCCCAATTATACATATAAAATATTATTTTAATTTTTCATTTAAAATAAAACAAAAATTTAGTAGATTACTGCAATAAACGAATTGATTATTAATATTTTGTAAAATTTAATTTTAATTTATTTTACCTGTATAGTAAAAAAAAAAGGTTAACTTGTTTATTATAGAATACTATTATTTAGGTACATTAGATACAATCATACAATTTAGGTAGGTTCATGTAAAATAAAACATTTTTTTTTTTACATTTTTAATATACGATTGTTAATCTTCGAAATTTTACTGTCATCCAGAAGCTTGTCACTCAATACTTCATAAAACGATACTTTTCAGATTGTTATAGGTCTGTAATTTTATTTTTGTTAATCGGTAGACCATCAAAAAGTGCAAAATTTTTCGGGAATAACAATGGCGTAGATTTTTTTCAAAGTTCATATTAAATATTCGAATGTAACCACGAGTAAGAAGTCAATGAAGTTTCAATATTTTATGTTACCGGTTTGTTCCCGGCAGTAATAAAATGTTCTATAAGTTGAAATTTTAAATCTTCATTTGTCGTTTTCAGAAAATTTTTACTCATAGATGATTTTAATAATTTATGATTATAATATGCCAACCATTAAATCTTTAAATCAAAAATATATATGACGTTTTTACTAAACATACCCAAAAACGATTGTTATTTATCCCCAATAAAAATTAAACGCATATACTCTTTGATATAGTAGACCCGATCAAAGCATTTGATTACACATTTGACGGCCGCAAAATCGTGATCACAAGAGAGATAGAATTATGCTTTAGATTACGTAAATAATTATGAACTACGGAGAAACACGTTTCAGAATAAGCACTGAAGAAGATTTTACTACTGTATAGCAACAATTTTAGTTAAATAAGCGTTATTAAGGTAGTTGTCAGTAAACATGTGAAATCACATTCTCAGAAGAATTTTCTAGACCACGCGTAAAATAAATGAGAAAAAACTTAAGTCAATAATTTATATTTTATTCTAATATTTTACAATCTGAAAATGTAAAATTTATTTATTTATTTTTAAATTTCAAAAATGATTTGTCTTTTCTTAGTTAACACATTCTACACATTATATTGATTTGTAATATTTTGTGACAAGTATTCAAACATATTATAGTAATATTTTTATTTTGCAGGTTATTGGTAGAACACAGACAGACTGAAGAATATAATTCGTTCACTAAAAGAGTTGTGAAAACTATGGCTGCCGTACGTACTCGTATTTCATTTTATTTATTCTTTAACATGAATGTAATACTACAATTATTTAATCACGTGTGATACTTATTCACCCGAAATTATTATTTGATTTGGGTTCTATTAGAATAGTTTCATTGATGACAGCAATTATGGCACTGCGATAGTTTTAATTTATCAATATTTCAGTTTGATATTTTATGCATTATACCACTAATTTAAATTAAAAATACATAGTACGTAATATATTTTACGACTCATAATTTCCTAATTCTCATTTCAAATTAATAATATACTTCGGTTATATCCATATTTCTGTTTTTTAACTGTAAAATGCATGTGGTTTTCGAGATGTAATCCCTATTATTTTTATGTATAAATTATACTAAAACATACTCGTTTGCGTTATATCGTTCGAGCAAGATTGTTTCGACTAACGTGTTTCCGAATCACTGCCACGATCTTTAGCGTTCTTTGTTTGTAAAGCGTGAAGAAATCCCCCCCCCCCCCGGCCCGACTTCCATGAGTTGTGCTCTCTGTACACAACAATTCACAACAATTACAAAACCAAAAGTGACTTTTCGTCGCTCACCAGAGATAAAGCTTGTCTAATTGCGTCGAAGAGTGTAATTCCACGTGTGCTTATGTACTGAAAACTTTGCAGACCGTGGCGCTGTTAACGTTCCGGCTGTACATGCTCCAGGGCAGTTTACCGAAATTTACTGAACCAGACAACCCCGCAGCATTCCACGACAGCTCAAGAGTCAGGTAATTATTCACTTTTCTGCAATAACCTTTTGCACGCAACAAATATTTGTATGAGTTGGGCGACGCATGGTTTCGTTCAAACATTGAACGCCAGCGAATAAAACAACAGCGAGACCGAACATCAAAATTGAAATATATAATATAATTTCGGATCTTTTTCCTGAACAGGATCGTATTATTAGGAAACAAATAAATAAATAAATGTTTCAGGAAAAAAATATTCTACGACATGCAATGCGATTGCATATGTGTTTTTGGATTACAGACCTAAATAATTTATATTATTGTAAAATAAATAGTACTTCAGTTCGGTGTTGACATGTAACGTGGTCGCATGTTATGCGATTGTTCGCTTCGTTATCGCGTTATAATTTAATTAATATGTAATCTATTACGGCCTTCTCTCCGTTATTCGAGCTTTCATTATTTTTATGGTTAACACCTCTCTGAAAATGTCCAAACCCAAACAGTCGCTGCCATCATCTCCGAATTCATCAATCCAAACAGAACATAAAAAATCTAGATCATTCGTCTCGTCAAATAAATTCACTGTCTTGGCGAAAGAAGAGAATAACGAAATCAATCTCGACACCTCTTGTGTTAATTCAAGTATAATCAACGATTCTATTACTACTAATATTCCACAGGACAACCCAAGAGATCCGCCAATATATGTTAAAAACATTAACAACTAATTCGCTTTCAAAATTGCGTTAGTAAAAATCACCGGCCCAGACAGGTTTACCTGTAAGTCTACGTCTTCATTTTTAATCATTCGCCCTCATGGTTATCTTATGTTTAATGTAATAGTAAATCATCTAATGGAAACCTATTCTCGTTTGCACGCCTTCATACCCCCATCATATCGATCATATAAGGTCATAATAAGAAATCTGCACCACACAACACTCATCTCGGATAATTCTGACGTACTCTCAGATTTGGGTCACTCCACCAGACGAATCACAAACGTTATTAAAAACGGCAACCCGTGCCCGCTGTTTCTCATGAAACTAAAACCCAACAATAACAACAAAGATATTTTTAATTTTTCCTCAATTTTGCATACCAAAATCAAAATCGAACTACCCTATAGGACCATTAGTAGTCCTCCCCAGTGTATAAAATGTCAGAACTACGGTCACACAGCAAACTATTGCCATCATCTTCCATGCTGCGTCAAGTGTGGGGGCGACCACTCCACAGACTCTTGTACTAAGGACAAAGACAGTTCAGTCAAATGTGCTCTCTGCATGGGTGATCATACCTCCAACTACAGAGGCTGCATATCATTTAAAGCACTTCTCAAACGCAGCAAATCGTTTCATTCAAAACCGCAAAATCCAAATTCTGTACTCTCGTCTCATCAACCTAAAACTCCCCCTCCTCACCTTCCCAAAGTTTCTTTCACCTCCGTTGTCGATTCCAATACTATCCCATTACCTAATAGCCACACTAGCGATATATAGTTGGCTAAATTTATTTCTGTACTTTCCTCATTAATTAATTCTCTAATTACGTTCTTACAAACAAATTCTAATCAAACAACTTATTACATAGTCCATTCTCTATTACCTCATTAACAACATTACAATAATTTTAATTGTTGTATACTCAATCTATAACTGTTTATTCTAATTGTTTTCGATCAATTATATATTATTGTACTATGTTTACCTAAACTATTAATATTGTATATGTTCGGTAATATTTGTTATTTTAATTTTTAATTTGATTGTGTTTATTATAATCTACATTCAATTATCTGTATGAACCATAATGTGTTTATATACGAATATTCTCACTTAAATTATATTTAAATTGTATATTGTAACTATTGAACTGTAATAATTATGTACTGAAAGTTCTAAAAAAAAAAAATAGTACTTATTGTGTATATTAAAAAATCTATTTTGAACGATGGCCAGTATAATATTGTCGTTCTTATAAGACTACATTGAATGGCTTCAAAAAATAAACAAAATAATAAGTTTTAATACTCGAAATAATAATCAATGCTACTGTTATTCAAACATAAATTACAGTTAAAAATAATTTAGCAAACCGAAAAATTTGAATTTTTCTTAACGGATATAATAGCGTAGAGCAAGTCATCAATATAGTTTTTAACCGTAAAATATATCATTATATCAAAATAAATAAAAAACAGTTAAAATTTAATGTTAATATTTTGATGATTTTGTTTTTGTTTTCCCCTATACTAAGGAGAATATCTAAAAATAATCTGTTTGAAGTATGTACCATTTACATCTTATTTATATACTAGAATTGATGTTGTTAAACATACAGGAAAGTATTTATTTTTCAAAAGTTTGACCGTAGAGTTACAAATAAGCTATCAAATGTATTGAAAATATTAACTTATGTGTTTGATTTTCTAATAATAAGGAAGTCTTTTTTTCATAAACAATATACTTCAACGATCGGTATCCATTAAAACACCACTGAACATTTCGTGGTATTGAAGATATTTATTGAATAACCACCGTAATGTTTGCTATAGTGTATAATCAATTCAAATTCACTTCAAAATAATTAACTTAAAATGTAAATACCATTATCTTGAATAGTTAGTAACTAAACGATCATTTGAAATAATATCTGATAATAACTGAAACATATATTAACAAGAATATTTAATTATTGTTTATTTTTCTTATACTGTCTAATAACACTAATCACTGCAAAGCTTAATTAATAATTTGATTGTAGGCTAATTTATTTCCTTGGTTTTCAAAAGCACATCGAAAATATATAATGTTTAAAATGGCCCACGATTTAAAACCAGGTATTCATTTAATATTAGTCTTATGATTATAAATTAATTCTGTACAAAATTGTGTTTAAAAAAAAACAAACATCATCGGTATGTAAACGTAATATAACGGTTATAATTTTTTAGCCACGTAACCAACGTAAATCACGATTTTCATTCGTCGGTTTCACCGTATGAATGGCATGCGCAAAAGTTATGAAAAATAAAAAGATAAAAAATTAGTTTCTAGATAACGGATAGAACAAAAAACTCGTTATAGTAATAAACGAGCGCGTTTAATGTTCGTGATTTATCAATACGCGATATACGTGCGTTTGTAAAATATTTTTTTATTATTTTTTTCTAACGTGAAACACAAACAACACGACGGTATTATAACGTGCCGTGACAACTCTGGTACGGGGGGTTTTAATTAGGACGTTTAACGATCACGGAAAGAGTTGAAAGCAAAAACGACTCCGTAACGAGGACCAACTGGGTGTGTGCAGTGCGGGTTCGTAACTATAACTTTGTAACGAACGTGTGCATGGTTAGAAGGTGAATAACGGATTCTCAAAAGGTCAAATGGACGCCGTCAAAATTTCTGAGACGCGTTTCCGTTGTCTTCCGGACCGGACAAAGTCTCATATTTGTCGACGTGCACCTGTCCCGTATGCGAAACGTACTTTGCTGAGCGCAGCGTAACAATCGTTTTCACACCGGTAAACTCGGCGGTGACCAGAATGAATAAACTACGGTCGCTGTTGTTTTTGCCGACCGTCGACCTCTTCCGCGGTGGCAAATATGACAGCCATTCCCTTCCGCCCGTGATATTTTTCTCATTCTCCCTGAACGTTGAATTTTCTCCCCGTCCCTACACAAGTCCAATCGTAACTTCGAGCGCTTGAACACGACCGAGTGCAGTCTATTCGTCTGTTCTCGAAGTGCACCCAGTCCACGAGGTAGGTGATCAACAGGACGACGAGAGTGCGAAAAACTAACGAACAAAACGATAACCGCCCGGGACGGACTCACAATGATTTTCGCTTTTCGAATTTTTGATTTGAGTTTCGTTTCGTGTACACAAACACAGATTGCGTATTAAATAATGTTATGTTGCAATCGAAAACGATACGATTGTACAGTATGCGCGATTGACGCGGTCTTCTCTGAGTGTGTACCGCAGAAAGACTAACGTTCGATTCATTAATGTATTATTACGTTGCGTACTATGTTATACCTGTAATTTATTATTACGTTTTCCGTTAACAGTGCGCTTATTCACGGTCCAAAGATAATTGTTTATCGACGATTGGCCGCAGCGAAAGAACATGCACGGGTTAGGAGGGTTTATGATTTCAGCGTGTAAATGCGGCATAAAACTATGCAAGAACCGCAGCATCCCTTTTGGTGCTGTCTCCGTTAAATGGCTCCCTGTCGAATAGTTTACCGCGTATCTTACGCGAAAATCCCTGTAAGCACACGCATTGTGTGTGTATATGTATATGTATACATATACATTTACATTCTCGGGCAGTTAATATTAAATTCTGTTACTGGCTGTTGCGGCGGGTCGTTGAGAATGGTAGATCAGTGGTGGAGGGACACCCACTTTCCTAGCCAGGTTTTGGAACGCTCGAAACGGACATATTTCAGTACCCATTTAGACATAGGAATTCCGCGTTCCAGCCGATAAATTCGACGCAGGTTTTGTGTATGTGAAGAAGGGACGGCCACCCTAAGGTTATCATTATTGTCCAGCATCGTGGAGCAAGCGCGAGAACGGATTCCGAAGGGTTGTTTGCCGGTCGATTTACTAGTAAATTTACCTCACGTACATAAATACCATGGACAACACAAAAACACATGTTTTGACTATGCTGAGCTGATGTCTGGTGAAAAAATAAGTTGAACATTATAATAATACGTATTTTCATACCTACCATTTCTAATATATATATATATATTTAATTTTAAATCTATTTAATTTCACGTCCTGGATTTCCTTAGATATTTCAATTCACGGAATATTATTATTTAACTTTTTGAAAAAATAAAAGATAAGCTATTCATATACATTTATCAAGGTATCTTATTAGTTGGTATATTTTTCAGTCGAATTATAAGCAAAACACAAGTATTTATTAGAACCTGTAAAGTTTAATCTTCAAGTTAATGTTATATATACGGACATCCTAAAAGCATTAGAATCAGTGAACCATAT